AATCACTTGAAAACAGAAGGTATAAGATGGACAACAAGTTCCTGCTCTTAATTACTTACATGGGCAAACAAAAGACTAAATTGCCTCAAATCAAGTCCATGAGATATCACAGTGCAATATGTACACCTTTAAAGCTGGAAATTCATAGCAGTATGCAATACCTTTGGAGCTGCCATTGGATATTCTTCAGGCAAAAATAATTCCAACTTGAAAACACCTCCTGCAAAGTATGGGTACCAAGTAAGCAGACTGAACCAAAATACAGTGGGAAAATCATATACCATATAAAACTATCCCAACGTCTTTAAGCCAAATTTAGATAGAAGAAAAAATCAAGAAAATCAAACATGGGGCAAAGTATGTAATCACTTATGGACAAAACATGGGTAAAAGCTCTTAGTTCCATAACCAATGACATGAGAGGGCTTAATGACCCATACCCACTCTTCCTCCCCTCCACTGTGAAAAGCCACACCAAACCCCCCCTCTCTCTCCCAACAGCAACAACCCAAAAAATAAAAAAAGGATAAGAAGTAGAAAGAGATAGAAAAGACTCACACAAAACCTTGACTTGACAACCACACATTTACAATTCTACAAAAGTAACAAGTTCATGTACATCTTTGACCATGCACAAGGAAGCTGGAATAAAGTTATCACTTGTACTCCCTGCATTAAAAGAGCCTAATCTGAAATTATTTCCTTTCCCAAAAAATTAACAACCCACCTCGATTCCTCCCTCTACCCCTTTTTAACAAAGGTACAAAAGCTGAAGATAACTAAAAATAGAAAACCAAAAGACGATAAGTTGTTTGAATTGTACTCTACAGGAGTAAACAAGAATAACTCGTGAGAAGACTCGTGTTCCACCATTCAACAAACCAAACATGGCCATGCCTTAGAAGTCCCAACATGATCGTCCAGCAAAACTATGACCCCTATGAAACAACTTTGACTTAATATTTCTGTCAAGACTTTACTCTCTTGTTATTTTAATCATGGGGAAATGTATCAACACAAATGCTTTTTAAGTTAGAAATTTCACATTTAATCTTTTTTCTCACATTCAAATTGCAAGATGCAAGAAGATACCAAAACCAACATTGATGGCCAAATAGTGAAAGAAGTTCTGCATTTAATTCTTAAAAGCAAAAAAAACTAATAATTACTTAAGCATCTGTTTACACCAAAGGGCAACAAGATGCAAGGGCAGCAGATTAATCCATTCAAAGAGGAAAATAAGATCAAGCAACCAACCTTCATAAGGCGATTGTGTTGGACCAAGAATCATGACATTAAAGTATCGCATATTGTCCTCAGAGGGGGATGCACTTATTCCCGGTGCTGCACACAACAATCAACACAATGACAATAATTGACCTCCAGGATAAATGAGCTAATCAACATTGGAATGACAGGAAATGGAATGGTTAACTATCAAGGAAATGCTACATCCAAAACCAACAATGTACAGAAGAAAAACACAAACAGCTAATAAGCACTGCATAAAAAACTACCAAATGTTAAGCTGACAACAAGCTTCAGCATAATAAACTACCAAATGATATAGCAGTTGCAAAAAAATTGCTTTCTCCCAAAAAAAGATGCACAATCTACATAGCTGGTTTCCAAAGCCTCTAGTAAATGTTACTTGGAGGATCATAAGTTTTTGTTAACCAATAAAGCTAAACCAAGTGCACAAGGAATGAGTGACTTCTGAGTCTTGTATCTCGCATGACCTCACCTATGATCTAAAGAAAATGTTTTTCCACTTTAAAGAAACTGTTTTCAAGAAAAACACCAGGTGATCACCAGAGTAGACTCATTGGCGCTGCAACACTCCAGTCCACAGATGAGAAATAAATTCGAAATTCACATTTAAAAAAACTTTGAATAACCGAAAAAGGAGAATGTAAGTTTTCATAAAGCTCAAAATTTAACACCACAAATAACAGGCTATCAGTCATGAAGACATAGGAAAACTTCTATAATTTTTTAAACAAAACGAGGAAATAAGATCATAAAACGAAAAAAAAAAAAAAAAACAACAACAGCCTTCTCAATTGGAAAAAGAAAAGAGGGAAAAAAACGCATAATAAGATAGCAGAACACAGAATCTGAAGCTCAACTTATAGATTAAAAACACAGCTAAATAATGGAGGGGGCGCTTACCGGGTTCGCTAAGAAGACGCTGAGTTTCCTGTCACACAACGGAAAAAGAACAAAAACCCAAAAATAAAAACTTAAGGAAATGCAAATTTTAAATAAAAGCAAGGAAATGCAAATTTGAAATAAAAGCACCGATCAACAAAAAAAAAAATGAAAAACCCTAAAAAAGTGATCACATGTAAATGGGGTGAATTGAGAAAGGGATCGAAGAGATCAGGAAAACTACCTTGATGATTCTACGAGGTAAATTGCTATTAGCCATCGAATTGAATGGGATTGATTCGGCGAAGATGGCTGAGAGTTTTTGCTTGATGGGTTCGCAGAGTCTACGCAACAAGGGCTTTTTTTAGAGAGAGAAAGAGAAGAAGGTTTTCAGAGTCTAGAAGAGAATCTCCACTTTCTCTCACTAGCAATGAATTATGGGGAGACTGGAATGGGGTAGGGCTTCTTTGAAATTTTATATATCTGATGGGTGACAAAAATAATGTGTTATTATTACATACTAAAAGAAAAATAATAAAATTGTATGTATGTTATTTGGGAAAAAAAACTTTTGGAATAATACTGTAGTAATTTTTTGTTATATAATTTGTACGAAATTAAAAATTAATTGGGAAAAAAAATAAAATTATTGAGAAACATGCTTATGATGTAATTGAAAATTTTTTTAAAATTGATATTTGAAACTCAATTCGTCCTAGTACCTTGCTCGAATGAGAAAAAGCTTGTCATTGGTTGTACGTAGATTCATATGTTCACTCCAATAAAGTCACATACTCGAATCTTTTGGTGGATACGAATTAATATCAAGTAAAAACAACTTCATTTTTTTGGTTCAATTCATCCTAGTGCCTCGTGGTATGAGAAAAAGCTTGTCATTGGACATATATGGATTCATATGTTTGGTTCGAACTAAGAAGTTTAGTGGATATATTTATTCTTAAATTTTGACACGTGAATTACAGATATTTGATTTATTTTTTATAATTAAGAGCAAAATCCAATGAAATGATCACAGATATATATTGATTAGTTAGTTGAGTGGTTGAATTGAGACGAAAAATAATTTGATAATCAAAAGTAGACGCAGGAAACAGTAACATGTAAGGTATGTTGAATTGGAGCACTTGAGCTACTGAAATTAATCGAGCTGGTGTAGCGATTGAGCATCCGGACTACCATGCACGTACAAATAGTTCAAGAATTCGTGCAGATATGGATATGGTGCCAAGGACTATCAACTAAAATTGACATAAATTATGCGAAGTTCAAATGGAAAATCCACTTGCCTTCCATTCTTCAAGTAAACTTTCAACAGCCACAAAACTTTGAAGAGGGGGTAAAGCTTTGAACAGCCCAATTGAATTCAACCAAAGACCTATAATAGAAAGACCAACGTATTCAGCAAGGAAAAGATAATGGATTTGTAAAGAAACTCCCTTCTCCCACCTCGATTCTTAAATTCCACCCTTCTTCCACAACAGATCTTCTGTCTCACATCCTATGCCACTCTCTGTTCCACTTTTTATTATATTGTTATTTCTCCTATATAAATATCATGTTTTAGTTCTTTTTTTGTTTTCTTAAAATTCAATAACTAGTAATTGAGTAAAAAATAAATACAGCAGCTTTAAAAAAAGTAATATATAATAGAAAATTAAAAAATATTACTCAATTAATTTTGAGTATGTTAAATTTTGTGTATTACTCAATTAATAGTTATTGGATCTTAAAGAAACAAAAAAGAACTAAAACATGATATTTATTTAGGAGAAATAGTAATATAATAAAATGTGGGACAGAGAGTGGCACAGGGTTTGGGACAGAAGAAACTATTTTCCGAAGAAACAACTTGCTTGTAGTTGATGTATTTTCATGATCATAATAAAGGAGATGAAGGGCACAGGATAACAAAACCAGTTAGTTTTCTACATTACTATCTGCGGCAACGAGGAAAAGGTCATGCCTCTAACTCCAAGCGGTCTCAGAAAAAATGCTGAAGGCGTGTAACAAACGAACGCAATAGAGACCCCAGAAGCGGAAACCTTGAAGCCGACCATTTTCAAGAAAGGCGTGAAATATGGACCGTATAAAATTCACGCCTTTATGATGAAGCCTTCACGATTAGGCCACAACTGAAAGTCATCTGCTTGCCCTTGTAATTTAACAGCTAAATTTGACATCTCCAGACTTGAAGGTGGAGAAACCATGACCCTGTACTATTAGTTTGGGGCATTACATGTTTTTTGAAGGTTTTTTTTTTTTTTTTTTTTGAAGAGAAGTCACTTTTCTTTGGCCAAATCAAGAAGCTTGGATAAGATTAAAAAAAAAAAAAAAAACTAGCCTTGGTTGGAGCTCTGCCATTTTGAGCTAGCATTGCGGTTGTAATGCATCATTAAGCCAGATTAGGTGGATAATTAGGTTCGATTTTCTTTGAATCTAACAAAGACTTTAGATGGCTTAAGATGTATCATCAAAAAAGCAAAATATGACTCCTGAATCCTCTACTAATCTCCTCAATATTACTTCCTTGGAGTTATAAGAGTACATTTCAATGGATCGATAACTCTTTTCTGCGCTCGATGTACAAAGGGGAAAAAAATTAGAAAAAGGAAAAAAAAAAAACAAATTCAACAAGAAAAATGATTAGAAGTGATAGAAATTGCTGTCTTCGGTATTAAAGATGCCATGCATGTGGTGAACGATGCAATAATAATCAGTTTGGCCTTAATTTATTCCCACAAAAATCAAACAAGAAACTTCAAAAATCTGTTTTAACACAGATTGCTTACGGGCTGCATTATTAACTTGATAATTCAGTACACGAGAAAAATAAAAGGGATATTTTCAGTTAATTAATCTTGCCAAAGCATCACAAAATCAATTCTCTAAATAAGAATTGTATTTTATTTCTCCCTCAGGCTCATGAACTTCTCAATAGAATCAGTTGGATACACATACAGGAGAGAAGTCAATTTTTATTGATCAGGCGCCTAGCTAGGCAAGAGGCTATTTTAAAAAAATTTCCTATAGTCCATTCTCATCTGGGATGTAGCCCATTTCTTGGAGGATTGCCTTGCAATCGGGATTAGCCTCAGTTGTCTTGTAGCCAAGAGGGTTGGCAAAGCGATCAGTGCCTTGTACGCCATTGTTTTGGGTCAAAAGGATCCTTGCCTTGTTTTCGCCAAAGGGAACATTGCATTCCTGTGAGGGGCTGCTAACGGACGCCACGTCGCAGATTTCTTCCTCATGATCTCCTTGTACGGTCAACTCGTAGTTTCCATTAGCATCAGTTGTGGCCTTCTGTGAAACTGTCACTGTTCCGTTTTCGCGTACCCTGCACTGCAATTCAACCTCAGCACCTGCCCATGGTAGCAAACAACGTTAATTCTGCTGCGCTCGAGGTCATTAACCTTAATCCTAAGAAACAAGAAAAATGTAAATTGATTTGGTAATACATGATTAAAGAAAATTAGTTTACCTTCGATGCTTTTGCTAAGGCTTGTTTGGAACTCGACGCGGCATGGATCGCAGTAGACCCGGCCTTTAACGGTGAATGCTTCTTGAGCATGAGCAAGGCTGGCAAGGGCCAAAAAGCAGAGAGCAGACACAACAGCAACAGCCTTTGCCATTTTTTTTGGTTTTAAAGATTTTTTGGCTTTTTGCTTCTTCTCTTGCTTGTGTATCTACTGGTTTTCTTGGATGTATTATTAAGGCCTATTTATAGGTGATGGAACAAACAGAAAATGAGGTTCAGCGGTTATTTCTCTAGCAGTTTATGGACCATCATTTTTTTTGCGGTTTGGAAGAAGAGATTGTCTCCTGCATTTGTTTCACCACCATTGACAGATTCAAAAATTTTAACCCACATATTTCGGGAAGACTTGCTTCTTTGACATCAGCCCCCCATTGGTTTTAACAAAATTACCTCCTATATTGGGAGGTGGTTATGCTTAGATCTTGATTTGGTAGTTATGTTTTTCTCCAGTTATTTTTTTACTCAATAATTTTCTAACTTTTTTTTTTCTTTTTTGGCATGGTTCCTCCTAGTTCTTGCCTGATCAGTGAAAACTTTGTACCGTAACTAGTTACTATAATTCTTGAGTCTGCGCAGAATAACTAGTGTAAGAATTTTCAAGCCATGCATGGAGAGCTTCGCCCATCACCTACACTACAGATCTTTAGTGTTAATGGGAATTAAAATTAAAGAAAGTGTAAAATTTTTTGACTTTCAACCTGATTTTAAAAAAAAAAAAATCAAGGGCAATGTCACGAGCAAGTATGCCATACCGTATATTAGCTCCTTAATTTTCATGACATTTAAATCTAATCCTAATTGCCAATGCTATTATATAGTTACACATAAACAATTTCTTTGTCTCAACTCTTAAGTTGTGCATCTCATCTCCGAGTCGTATAAGAAGTTTTTCAAGAAAAACCTGCTGTGCAAGCCAAGTGGAAAATAAAAAGATTTTTTTTTCTTCGTTGTTTTTTTTTTTCCTTTTTTTTTGGGAAAACAATCAATCTAGTTTATTAGGAATTGATAATAATTAGACCAACTGAAATATGGGCTTCAGAAGCCTTAGCTGATAAGCGTAATGTGTACTTAGCATTTACATGACTAAAAAGGCTGCAAAACTTTCTGATAAAAGCAAAAGAATAATCCCTTTTTTTTTCTTTTTTTATATAAATGGCCACAAAATAGTCCAATGCAAAAGAATAATCCTGAATGATAACATTTGTGCAAAACATACATTATTGTTATCTCCAATTCCAATTATGCTTCATTTTGGCTGAAATAATTGAGATATTGTCACCCTAATTTGTACGTTACAAGACTTGAGATGATCATACGGGTCACTGTTCTTTAATAAGTGTTTAGCTCAACTAAGTTTCTGGCCATTAATATAATGAAAATGCAGAACTTAATCGTCTTAGGTGCTATTTTTACGAAGGGTAAAAAAAAAAAAAAAGCCTTTTTTTTTTCTCTCTCAATTTAAATTGCCAAGGTATGTGGACAAGGTGTACACGCGTATAGATACAAACGTATAATGGTTTGCTAGAGTGTTTGTAATTGAACAATTAATAAAAGACTAATTTATCGAAAGAAATGTAAATTTTTTTTAACCTTTGCAGACTAGTGCTTATACTATCAAAGCTAAAGAGATTAGTACCGAATCCTAAGTTGAGTATTCATATGTGTAAAAATTAATACTTCTTCTTTAGGGTAAAATCAATGTAATCTATAGTAATTAGCACCCCTTGGATACGGTAAATTAATAAGATCACGCTTAGTAGCTAATGGTGAGTGCCTTTCTGAAACAGTACTCGTGAATGAAGGTCAATGAAGTGTCGCTACCGTCTAATGGATTTGGGGCATGTTGGTATGGTTGGCGTTAAGTCCTGTCGATATGATTATTGTATTTTTTTTATTTGGTATACACTTATGAAATTTTGTATTTCATGAAGTACAACAAAGTTACGTGAATATAATAACACTAAATCATAAAATATAATAAAATTATATGAGTGTACATCAAATCATAAAGAGGTAAAATAACTGCACCAATTTTACCTAAAATTAACTGTATTTGCTCTGTTCCCGCATCTAAGACATCATCGTATATGCATTATCTTTCTCCAAACCCAGGCTCCAGACTATAATATAGGGGTATAGGACACCTCTACAATTTGTCACCTCTGCAACTCGTGATAGTAGTTTGTCACTAATTTGTCACTATTTAGAGATTTTACTATAATGGATTTTATTTTAACAAAGGTAGTTATTTAAAATCTATAAGTTGCTTCTATTATCGTATCTCTTTATTAAAGAGAAGTTTATCAGATTTGTAACTCTTATCAAAAGAGATATGTCAGTTTCCATTACTGACAGACATTTCTCTTCATTGGTGTCTCAATAGAGTCTATAAAATCTTGTTGACAGACATTTTTCTTCATTGGTGTCTCAATAGAGTTTATAAAATCTTAATCAATACGTAATTGACATATACTTGTCATAAACAATTTTGAGAGAGTTTTATTAAGGCTTTGTTGTATCCTGGGGTATCAAATACCATTAGGAAAGTGAGATCATCACACCTCAAAGCCATTATTGTGCTAACAATCTAAAGGTATTTGATAATGGCAATTGAGGCAAATTCTGGAGTGAAAATTCATATTCAAGATCAAGAAGCCATCAATTTGGACGGGTTCGATGGAACAAACTAGACCAGATTGCTGATGAATTGAAGTGTCGAGGATACGTTCTCAACTCGCTTACCAACAAGCTCTATGATCTTTAAGAGTACGAAAGAAATTTGGGCTACATTGGAAGCGGAAGTATAAACATGAAAAGAAAGGTACTAATAAATTCCTAGCACTCGTACTCAAATTTTTTGAATACAAAATCTCTAATGATATGCCAATTATGGATCAAATACACGAATTGGACATTTTGGTTTCTCAATTGAGTGAATCACAATTTGTTGTTCCTGACCCTCTCTAAGTGGGAGCAATTTTGTTAAAGTTGCCTCCTTCTTGGCATGACTAAAGGAAGAAAATTCTGCATTCTATAGAAAGTTTAACTATTGAACAATTTACTGCTCATATGCAAATTGAGGCAACCAATCGTGCAAGAGAGGCTATGATTTTGAGTTCTACTTTCAAAAAAATGACATACACTTTGTAAGTGAAAAAGCTTCTGGTTCTGAGAAAAAGACTCATAATTCTTTGAACGTCCAAAAGAATGGAAAGAGCTCAAAGAACATTAAGAAGAGTAGAATATGCTTTCACTGTGGAAAGCATGGCCATTATATCAGAGAGTGCAGGTTCAAGAATGTAGCAAAATGGAGCACTTTAAGTGCTGAAAATTAGAACAAGACCAACATGATTGAGAATGCTGTTAAAGAACTTATTGCTATGGTGTCTCAAATGGAAATTGACATGATCACTGAACTACATATGGCTATTGCAACAAAGTCCGAAGGCTGGGGGCTTGATTCACGTGCAATCATTCACGTGTGTCATGACAAAGCCTTTTTCAAATCTTATGAAGAGCTGAAAGAGTTTGAGGAAGTGCTTATAGGGAATCACAATGCTCCCAAAGTTGTCAAGAAAGGATCAGTGGAACTAAAGTTCACCTGTGGGAAGAAATTATCTCTCTTGAATGTATTTCATATTCCTAATCTTAAGAAAAATTTTGTGTTTGCTAATCTATTGTGTGAGAAGGACTTCAAAGTAGTCCTAGACTCTGATAAAGTTGTAATAACTAAGAATGGTGTATTTGTAGGCAAGAGGTACACTTGGGATGGCATGTTCAAATTTAGTATCAATGAAATAAATAATTCCTTTGCTTATGTTGTGAACTGTTCTTTCTTCTATATGGCATGCAAAATTAGCACATGGCCATTAACGTGCTAAGGTAGTTAAAACCTCTTGGAAAGTAAGATGAGTGTAATGTGTGCTTTGTACTATATTGAGAGACACATTCTTTAAGCATAATACTTGTCGTGTGAAAAGAAAATCTAAACTAGTGACAAACTAGTGGTGGATTGTTAGTAGTTTGTCATTAATTTACATATTTTGAGCTTTTACTATTATGGATTTTATTTTAACTTAACAATGTAATTATTTAAGTTCTATAAGTTGCTTCTAGCATTGTATCTCTTCATAAAAGATAAGTTTATCACATTTGTAACTTTTATCAAAAGAAATATGTCAATCTTAGGAAACCTCTTGTGACTTTCATCAAAAGAGATATGTCAAAAGAGATTTGTAACATGCTAAGGCAGTTAAAACCTCTTGAAAAGTAAATGAGTGCAATGTGTGCTTTGTACTACATTGAGAGTTGGAGTTCAATCTTAGAACACTATGAACTTTATAGTCTTGTGCATTAGGAAATGGTTCAAGTCAAGAGACACTTTCTTTAAGCATAATACTTGTTATGTGAAAAGAAAATCTAAACTAGTGACAAACTAGTAGAGAATTGTTAGTAGTTTGTCACTAATTTACGTATTTAGAGATTTTACTATTATGGATTGTATTTTAACTTAACAAGTTAATTACTTAAAATCTATAAATTACTTTTATTATTGTATCTCTTCATAAAAGAGAAGTTTCTCAGATTTATAACTTTTATCCAATGTTTTCAGAATCGGACCGGACCGATCGATTTGACCGGTTGGACCGCAAATCGGACATGTCACCAGTCCAGTTTAGTGTTGAAGCCACAAGTTAATGAAAAATCATTGAAAACCGGACGAACCGTATGAACCGTTAAAAGACGTTCAAACCGTAAACCGGTGGTTTTTTAAAATTTTCAAATATTCACTTTAAACTCAAAACAATAATAGGAATGGAGCTATTGGGATTCGAACCTACGTCTCCACAGTCACAACAAAGACTTGTTACAACTGGACTATATTCATAGGACAAGCTTTTTTTGTATAGAATGCTACTTATCTTAAGTAAAAAACTAAAATCTAATTAAACAAAAGAAAACCCTAGCACTAAGACACTGCAGACACTAGATAGCACCTTTTGGCTTTTGCTTCACTTCCTCAATCCTCGGTTCTCTTGTCTTTGCTTCTTGTCTCATTTTTTTTTCATTTTTTTCTTTGTAACCTTTGCACCTCCAAATCAAATACCCATGACAAAATCTTTCTCAAGCCTTCCCC